AGTGTGTTTTTTCCCGTGCTAGATGTTCATCTTTGTAGCATGTAGTGTGTTTTTTTCCCGTGCTAGATGTTCATCTTTGTAGCATGTAGTGTGTTTTTTCCCGTGCTAGATGTTCATCTTTGTAGCATGTAGTGTGCGGCATTGCTTGACAATCATTAGACAGGGCGCGGTATAATTGCTGAAGTTACATCCGCTGACAGCAGAACACATCTGCCCTCTCCTATCATAACACCCGTCAGATCTACTGTAACGATGATGCATCTACTACCTGCGCCAATGATTATCACTAGAGCTGGAGATATGGTGCGATTTCCCTGTGATAGCTTGGTACAAGCTTCTCTGGCACGTAAGAACTTTGCTGCACAAGATATTCTCTTGAACGGTTTTAATATCATTTTCGGAAACCTTCTCCCAGGCACCCCTGTAATCCAAAACTTTATCATCTTATTAGCAAAATATTTCATATTCCAGAGTAGAAAGTCCGAAAAATTGAATTTTCAATCCTTTCTAAATTATATATCCTTTTTTTTAACAAAGTTGAGTTTTATATCGCTTCAAGTAAAAAAATGGAAGAAGCATCTCGGCAAATGGGGCGGATTTTGTGTTTAAATTATATTTTGTCATACAATATTTATATTCATATTACTAAATCATATTATCTATTATGATTTCATACTACTTCCGTATGTACATTTGAGTTACTTCGGTTTGATTTGACTTATGTTGTCACGTTGGATGGTTCCACTTCTTTTGTTCTTTCCTATTGTTGAATAAAAAAAAAGAACTTTGTTGCACGACAATCGTACGCGATTACGATTACGATTAACAGGTATAAAAGATCTTGTAAAGAGCTTCAAGAACACTTAGTAGTATCCAGAGAACAGCTCAGGACAGAGGGAACTAGAGATATTTTGCTGCTGTCCTACATGCCGGTCATTAAGGGCAGTAAGTAAGTAAAATAAGTAAGTAAGTACGTAATATCGTACACAGTATAGTAGTAGTATAACGTATAGAAACAACTATTGAATATGGTACAATAAAGGGGTTTAGAATAAAACTTCACATCATAATTACTAAAACAATAAGGGCTAGCATCCTTCTTTAAGAATGTTGGTTACAAGAAAGTACTGCTAAGAATGACTTTCGATAAGAAAGCAGTCTTTTATATATATTTACCTATTTTTGTATTGTGGAAATTGTTGCAGCTAAAGTTAACGGCCTATATATACATGGTTTGTTGTTATTTCTCCGTTTTCCTTCATTTGGAAAACAACGCACATAGCGGTGATCGTGCAAAGTTACCTCCTAGCTAACACATAACAGCCGAACAATAGCCAACCTCGCCGCGAACACAAGCCAACCACAGCCGACCTTTCTCCCGACCTACTCCCAACCATGGTTGTGGGGAGTTCGGGCAGTGCTCGGGAGGCCATATTTGCCTGTGTGTGACGGGGGCTTTAGGCTCTCACTATGGACCGTCCAGGGGCTTTGTCTCAATCTCCAGTCAGCTCTGTAAAAACCCTTTAGTTCCGCAGCCTGCCGCTAGTATTCTCCATCCCGGTTTTTTTTTACCAACCCTTCTCACGAAACAATCGATTGTTAAACCTGGGTGCAAACTAATGCAGCTGCCGATCAATCATCCTAATTCTCGGCACCCATGGCTCAACATATTGGATTTTGTGTTTCGCTAATCAACAGGCTCTCAAAGGCGCAATGAGTATTCATCGCGTGTCTGGAACACTTGAACTGTGTCCCACCTGAGAAGCGAAGAGGAGAAAGCGTCTCTCGGCACACGTCTGGGTGTTAAAGAGGTATCATGTAACGTTTTTTGCACAGAAATTGAATATTTTAATTGAAAAAAATGTGTTATAGTGAAAAAGTGTTATAATGATTGTAATTTACTTCCGATATTCAACGTATTTGTGGAATTATTTCACATTTCTGACATTTATGGTCGGAAATAAAACAGTCCACACAAAGCGCACTTATTTTGTGGTACCACCAGAAATTACCAGAATGTAAACAAACATGACTGACAACTGTGTTTCAAGCTTTCAAACAAACTAGTAAGGTGTCATATTTTGGCACCTCCACTTCCTGAATGACGCTAATTTACAATGGAGTAATGATGATTCAACTTACTTTATATGTAAAGAAATGACCAGAAAATTCACTTTTTATATAAAAAAATGCAAAATTATGGTTGCTGCGTTTCTTCAGAAAGAGGCACGCATCTAGCGGTAACTGTCTACACAGATTTGACCTTTCAAATGTGACATTAGCTACATGACCAGGGGAAAACGCGCCAAGCAAGTTTGGCTCTTGTTTGAACCTTTACCTCGACCTCTCGTTAGATTAAAAAATACTGGCATTTCATGAAATGATAGCTACTTAGATAAAACACGTTGGCAACACCGAAAATACTTTGTTACGAGTGGTAAAGTACTGTCATAATATATTGAATGGATGAAGGAAGGAAGGAAGGAAGGAATGAAGGAAGGAAGGAAGGAAGGAAGGAAGGAGTGTGTGAGTGAGTGACGACTTTTACTGTACATTTTTGTCACACTGGGCCAAGCACAGGTCACAACAAAACATGATGAGCAGATTCAGTTAACAGATGCAAATTAAAGCTCACTATCAGTAGATGAATTCAACTTCTTACTTTCCAATTATAGTAGAGATTGAGAAAAATATTTAAAAAAACACAGATGTGTTGTTTTTCGATGGAGGGTTTGTCTAGTTGCATTAGGAATATGATTTTTTTTTCTACAGTGCTTAAGTGTATGAAATAGAAAAATAGGTAAGACGTACTAATGTATCATAACTACAGACGTATGTGCGAGAGAAAATGATTGTGAACAGGGAAACTACTCTCAAATCGCAAGCAGAGGTTTTGGTTTTGGCTTATTTTTGGCGTGTTGTAAGGCCCTTTTTATCGTTTTTTTCACTGGATTTTTTTACGCCAACCCAACATGGTCCCGATAAAAAAAATTAAAAAGCAACAAAACATGCCAAGAATAAGCCAAACCCCAAACCTCTGCTTGGAGAGTACTCGGAAACAAGCTTCTAATGATATTGCACCAGTGATTTCCACCCAAACACGTCCGGACCATTGATCTGATTCTATCATACGATGATAACAACAACATCCATCCGTTTGTAACAGCGATCTCCTAGTCTCCACCAGACTTCTTTTGCAGGTTGAATAAATCGTACAAATCTTCTTTTGCTGGCTGAATAAAACGGGCATTGACGATCAAATTGGCCTCCCAACTTGATCGCCGATGGCCGGCTACCTTCTCTCGCCAATTAATACCTTTTTTAGGCCGATTTCTACGATTTGGTGGAGACTAGCGATCTCCCGCCGCTAATGCGTCTGATGAATGCGCCACACAAACGAGCATCTGCTCTCTGCGAGAATGACAGCTATCTGGCCATTATACACGTTTTCACCTTGAAATCAAGGCGTATAGAAAAATAGAATTCCGTTACAAATCGTGCCTCCGCATTGTTGAGATTAAACAAAAGCAAACTGGTAACAACAGAGGTATTGATGCTCAAGCTAGAACGAAAATAGCGACATACTTTTTGTAGTGTCATCACAAACTGTTGGAGACAAGATATTGAGACAAATATACCAGATCTTGAAGACAAAAATTAGTTTAAAATCGGGCGTTTTTTTTTATCCTGTGTACTACTAGTAGTATTTCCACTATCGGTTGTCAGGGCGCATTGTACCTTGTGTATGCGGTAAACATGCACACCCCATGGCGCCTGAGACTCAGGCCATCTGTCTACCTCTTCACAACAAAGCAAACACACCGACCACGTCCTATATGTCTTCTCAATGTCAGCTGAGCAAGGTCAACACGGCGCTTCGGCCCAGACATGAGGCTCAGAGGTCACAAAGAAGCTAGGAAAGACGAGCCTGATAGAACAAGTACTGAATTAAATGTGAATGATGTTTTTCTGCGTTGTAATACTCAACCCTCAACCTCAACCATATGCATACTCTCGAAGTAAAGACTTCGGATTGTTTTTGACGTATTTTAGGCGTTTTTATCTTTTTTTTCCAGACAAACGGTGGTGTATTGATACTGTCTTGCGAATTTGATACTGTTTGTATCTACCAAAAGATATGCTTGGAGATTATCTATTCGGCGTCTGTCATAAGAAATTACAGAGGTATGGAACTGATAGAAAATGATCTGATCATGAAATAGAAAAGGTACAATTGCACTTGTTGTCCACTGTAGGTTGCTCATAGGAAAACAATCTTATATATAATCACTCATGATCGATATTATGTTGTGTTTGCATAAGGAGAGTTGGATAGCCAAGTTGTTCTTCCAGATGGAGCTAATTCTTTCACCGTTTATATTATTGTATACTGTATACCGGGAGGAGGCTGTATCTTGTACGACTTGTTGCATGTGCAGAACTTGACTCTCAAGTTAGTTCAACTACATGACTGCGATGGAACCCCGATAAAACAAGTCACTTGAAATGTTGTCTCGTGTATCGGGATCCTTTGTACACGACAATATATGGAAGAATTTGCCACCCAAATACTTTGGAAACAATTACATCTAGAAGTAAATGATATGTAGATACGGAAACTGGAGCATGGAAGACTAAGACAATATTCGCTGATCTGTTTCATTCTATGTCATTTGACCAATAGGCTACCACACATGTACATGATTATACTGTGAAGGGTTTCTTGTGTTAATCGTTGATTATTTTTCTACATTATCTATTTGCAAATGAAAGCAAATCATTTGTTATAAATGGTAAAGAGAATACGCAGAGGAAACCCTAAACCTCTGTTGGTTTATCTGTGGTTTCCCTTAAATGTGACTAATTATTTGTGGCCATGACAGTTTCTCATCATTATAACACACAAATAACATCAAAACGAAAGAAAATGAAAAATAGTCATTATAGAGGCATAAGATAAAAGGGAAACGGACTAACTGCTATACCTAACTATTGGTTACCTTGTATGCATATGACACCATCCTCTTGTCCTTGGTCCGAATGCCGATGAGAACGGCGGGGTCGACGTCGTCAGTCCCGGAGACGTACGGGCCGAAGACGGTTCTAGGCGGGATGTCTGCGGTGGTCCAGACGCCCGTCAACAGCTCGGTGGAGTCCCTCTCGTCTGTCATGGTCTGGCCTCGGATTTCTCTCCCTTCATCCATTGTCTGCCCCATGCGCTGCCCTGCGGGGGAATTAATTAAGGCTACATTTAAAAGTGTGTTTTTCCGCGGGCCGTGCCGCACATTCAACGTCGCCATGAATCAAGCAGCTGATCCGATATCGTTGGGTTCCATTAACAGCCTGACGTCGTCCTGTCGTCTGAGCGTTATCCTGGCCGCGCGAGCCGGCCGTGAGCGAAACCAGAACTAGAAACGTTTTTGTTGATCTCGTGGGGAATTCAAGTTTCCACGAGTTGGAAACCTACGCCTGTCAGCAGAACACTCTGTTTTTTATCTGTCGGTGGCGGGCCCGAGAGAGCCGGCCTCGCGCGGTGGCCTGTTGCTCCTCCGGTCACACTACCAAGGGCGGTGCGGGGAATAAACCGCTCGGCTCGGGCGGTGAAGTTTGCCGTGGTACGGCTGAGGTGGTAACCACGACTGGTAGTGTGTGTGTGTCTGTCTCAGTAGTCACACCTCCCCGGTACAAGACCTGATCGATCAGGCTCAGGCTAATTACGCATTAACACTACACATAACAGCTTGTGGCTGTCCGGACGCGTATAATTCGTACGGATGTCGATACATTTTGCAACAACGTAACGGGCGGCATGCGTGCATTTTTGCTGACTGTCGGCGAAATTGCTGGAACGAGCGAAAGACACCAATTTACCAATACGGAATTCTGTCTGGGAAGAGACTCGGCAAAATCCTACTATGGATAGAAAAATATAGATTGAAAATTATTTTTGCTTTGTGAAATTATGTTTTCTCATCCATGACATCCACACTCAAAATCCAAACCCAACTACGACAGCATTGAAGGCATTGAATAAGCCCCCATAGTACTTTAATACCACTATCATGGAAATAAATATGGAAAACCGATTAGATCAATAATCATAATAGAGATCTATTTATAAGGCAGCACGTGTTTGGACTACATTCAGTGTTTGCGTCAATTGTCATTTTTGAAGCTAGTAAGAAGATAATATTATTTTCTTTTCATGTACACATTCACATTAAATCTATCCAATACAATTTACCACATAAAAACCTCGTTACAGCGTGTGTCATTATTCACAATATAACTAGCTTTTCCAATTTAGCCTGCCTGGGCTGTCATGGCTGATAATTTTGGCGTCTAATTTTTGAGTTGGTTTGCTAAGAGCGATAATTGGGGAGGATATGTTTATTATCGGGGTCATCTGTAGTGAATGATACTCCATGGACGGGGTGGCGGAATTACAGCGAGTAGGGCGCCGCATGTTGCAGGTGGTGAAAATGCGTTAATAATATCCTCACCACCTGGGACGGTCTTATATTGCACGGTGAAGCCGTAATTTGGCACTGTCACAGTCGGAAGACACAGACGACGATGATTTAAATACTTGTTCGCGGTAACATATGTCCATTTACTGATGAAAAGTGATATAAAATACCGATCGATCTCTCAGCGCATCGCTTCACCCACGGTACGTGCGAAAAAAATTGATCAGACGCAATATTGTCGTCTGACATTCGCCTCGGATTCTCGCCGTGTCAATTTCTATATTGTTGGGGGTGAAAACGATCTTGGGCTGATGGGAGAGCCATTCGCGTTTGTCACTCGCTCCATCAGCAGTAAAGTACCGGGCCTTCAGTACTTCCCGGCCGCTCTCCTGACCCGAGCGCCACCCTGTCTTTGGTGATTTCTGCCCCGACTCCCGCTACAAGTGATTCTGGGTGGATGTGTCATTCCCGTATGTCGTCATAAAGGGTTGTTAGAGGAGGATATCCGCCGGCCAGCGCGCCGATAAACATCGTCAGATGCGGGGAGAACGACACTCGTGGGTGCGTTCCCTTAATGTGGGGACTTAGGAGCGACGCATTACGGAGGGCCCTGGGGGAAGGAGCCGGCAACTTGGCGGGGAGGAAGAGAGGAAGATTGCGGGATGCACTTAAGTAATCAGTTGAGACCGCTTAGGTTGAACCCACTACTCCAGCACCCTATAGGCATTGGCTGCACCGGTGAATATTGTGCCTACTACATCTCCACATTCAGGAATTTTAAAACAAGGATACATATCTATATTATTAGGCAATCGTCAATTCAAATACTAAGCATCACTACTCCAATTTTACGTAAGATTTGGTGTAAAATGAATATCACGGACATCAGCAACTGTATCAGAGCAATGAAAATTTTTGACAATATGGAAAGTTGACAAGTGAATAAATCACATAGTTTATCGCTCATAGTTTGTCATCATCATATCAATAATTCACATTTCGGAGTCTTAGGCTCTATCCTTATCTTCCATGGCGTTAAAAAATGGCTTGAAGAAAACATGAGAGTATAATATTAAACGTTGGCTGTCAGTAGTGATATTTTTCAAAGATATCCACAAAAACCCCAAGCCTGAAGAATTCATCTCAACTACTACTACAGACAAGGCAGAGACAGTTGCTGTATCCAGATCCGATCTTCATCCAGAACCATGCTCAGATATACGGTTCTGGATAGTCCAAACGTATCCCGAACCGTGTCTGGAGCAAAAATACAACAAGAGCAGTCTCAGTTTGTGAGGTAACCAAGGCGCTTCTGCCGCTGCCAAAAACCTTCTGTTCTTCAGACGGCCCATTTCTATTGATTGCGACCGGGCCGCCCGTCGCTGGTCTTTTGACTTCGTGATGAATTAAAGGTATTGAGAGCAACTATGTGTGAAAAGAGGACATAGGGCCCGGGTGCAGACGGCGTAGGGTAAGAATAGGCTCTGCCCGGAACAGTAGGTCGATTTTCGAAATGTTGTACACAACGTTTTCTTCGTAACACGTCTACCAACTACCATTCGTAGAACGCAACATGAATGAGACAATATACTAGGTTAACACACTACTAAGCGTCATAAATGATATATATTGGAGCTAGTTGGCTTAGCGAGTTATTTCATTGACCCGGTACAGTTTAATACATAAACCCTCTGCATACATGTCTGTGTGTGCCATGCATAAAGCAGCGAGGCACCGTATAGTACTCGAAATTCTGGCCGGCAAACAGTAATTCTTACCCAGGGAGCATTGTGATGTCACTACGATACAGCAGAGGGAAACTCATGAACGAGATTCCATGTCCCTCATCCCGCACATTAGCGCCACGATTACATCAAACATGACACGTTATACTCACTGCGCCTGAGATTGCAGCAGCTCTTCCCCGTTAGCGGATTCTTCCCCCCGTTTCCTGCCAGCGACAGCCCGAGAGCGTTCGCCCGGAGCTAGTAGCTTGCACGCGCAGAAAAACAAGTGTAGGTAGACGGCGGGCACCGTAACATATGCTACCTAGGCGAACAAAGAGGTCGGGACAGCACCAAGTTTGGCTCCCCGTGCGCCCCGTATGAATAGCGGCTACTGATTGATTTCCAACCAGCCAACATCTGTGGTGATTGCACGCAGAGAGGGCACTCCACACACAAAAGTAGTCAGTTGTACCAAAGGACGGTTGTCTCTTACCTCTTAGTAGTCGATGTGGGGTGGGTAATGCAGGCCACGCGCTCGTGGTTTGGGCCCGTCTGGCTAGCGTGTGGCGGTTGATCGGAGCCTGTATGTATGACCTGTACGGAACGTAGTGTGGCTGCCGGCTTGATATGTTTATGAAGTCGTGTCGAAACATAAATGGATGGCCCAGTCAGGCATGGCGAATGTTTCCCATAGGGCGGTTTGTTCGCGTGTCTACCGTCCAATTTTCACACCTGATTGGTTATTATCTGATGAATCTAATTACTTAATTTATGATGTTAGCCCACGGTAAATGGGATCTGACAAAATGCATATCCTGCAGCAGATGCTAGTATAAAACCACGCAACTGGGACGCCGTTCGGCTTTTCCAGAATTCGGGGCGCAAACGTAGGACTTAACGCAGAGTGGCTAAAGGGCGTTACTAATGACCCGATAGAAATTCTCCCAATGCTTTATTACAATCCACGCGGAATCCCCGCGCACAGTAAGGAATATCGCCCCAACTGCATGATTTTCGACAACATATGCCACGGCTAATTATGTACGGTAAGCGACTTTACGCAAATTTGCCTGAAAACATTTCCACTTGGGGTGTGCTGGCTTTATTATTCATGAGCGTCAATTCTGCTTAAATGCCGGGTTAGTTTTGCGTGTAGAGACTGCCATCTGCTCGGGGTTTGGAGAGACTTGTTTGGAACACAAAAGACGAGGGAACAGCGGCGCACAGCCAGATCACACGCCCCCCTCCCCCTTATCAACAATGACAACCACCCGTCTCTGAGATCACACCATTTCTCTGTCGTGGTACATCAGACGAGCCCTTAAATCAAACCAATAATGGCTCGTATGTTAGAGTGGTCATTACTGGGTAGGTTTTCTCCTCTGAGATCTAACCGGTGTCCCACTCGAGACTTTCGTTTCTAAATCTTGTTCATCCATCCTGACAACAGGACCTCTTTCTTCTCCCGACACACATCCCGGCTACTGTTACCCCCGGTGTACGTATCGGCTGTCAGCGGCAGCACACAATTATCCCGCGGCACACAGCATTGCCGAGGCCGAAGGAAAAATGTTGTGTGTTCCGGTTTCCCGACCGACTCTAGCAAAAGCCCGCCAATACTAGCCTTTTTTGGGGGGAGGGGGGGTGTCTACCAGTATCTTCAGAAGCAAATTTGTATTGAGCTGAGGTATTTGTCCTTACTCCACAAGCAATCGGAGGAACGGGTCTTGGAGAGAGTCCCAATACATTTCAGTTTTACACTTTTAACTTTGTTATTTGGGGGAAAAGAAGAGAAAAAAAGAGAGAATCCCCACGTACTAACTCTATTTTGTCAGGGCTGAAATCGGAAACACAATGTTTTTTTCTGGGCCTGAAGACTGCCGTGCTGCGAGCTGTGACGACTTGTCTCTAATAAAACCTCACCAGTACACTAGCACCAAGGACAGACAGGTCACCAGCCAACACTCCCGTAGATGAGAGTTTTAGCACCCTGCATATTACCTGCAAAACTTATCCATCACTTTATTACCACGCCACGATCGATGTTAATTTCAGGCTTGATACAGAGAAACATATGGCGGGAGTGGTCCTAAATAACGGGGCTGCGAGATGATGGTTTCAGGCAAGCGTTACATCTACCACGTCAAAAGACATCTGCGATCGTTCTAGTCTGCTACAGCAACAAATAACTTTAAATATACAGTAGAGTGGAGGAAAATTAGCCAATTTGGCTCCTGTTTTCGCAAGGTCTTATCCACATTACTGAAACTGTAATTTGATGATCATTTGTTTCAATTGTGACATAAGTTCATTCTCTGGGTACAGATTGAAGATTGTCGCAGACAGCTGGGATACATACTTAACCCAACTACACAGCCAAATTGCACGACAAATCTTAGTACGGAATGGTTTGCAATAATTAATCCAATATGTTAGAGCGAGTGTTGTGGCTTGGGTCGGGTTTTTAGATGCGGTATTTGTGGGTAATTCAATCTGCGTTGACTGCACACAAACGTGGATTATGTGACAGGTTGTAGACACCCAAGGGGGTTTGCCACAAAATCTAATCGCCAAGATTCTAAATGCAATTAACAGCAGCGGCGCGAAATAGACTCCACCTCACATATGGCGAAGAAAAGCAACTCTACCCACTGTCTCTCTCCCGCCTCGTCCGGGCACCCAGCCAAGTATGCAGATTGTCAAATTAACCCTGATTGAAAGTACGTTGGATTTATTTAAAACGCCATCAAAGCGAAACAAAAAAGCGGCAAATTGCGCCGAGACACGGCGATTATTGTCTTGAGCCAGATCCCGGTAAAGACCCATTGTGTGGTGACGGCTCGGATATAAAAGGCCCCGTAAAATAATGGAAACACAATTTGCGTTTGGAAGGGATTTACGAATCGCCAGGAATGAATTCCAGCATGTCAATATGGCGTCAAGATCATTGCGTTTGGCGTAATTTGGCAGCGATCTGGGATCATGAAGTACTGCGCCGCTTTCTTTTTTTATTTGACGTCCCCAACCCCATCTTTTGGCAAGCTAAATGAGCGTTTACTCAAACAGATTGGGAAGAGAAATTGTCTGCGATGCGACGTCTTTGGGAACAAATGCATATTTATCGCCGTCTTAGCGGGGGTAATTTGTTATTTGTCAGCGGATAATGCTGAGATAGCAGCGGAGATTCCGACAGGCGGGACGAGACACTCCCGTCATCCGTCATGCGGGACATTTAACGGTTGACAAACGGCGGATTGCGGGACGGGGAGAGCTGAAGCACCGTTCGGTACGGCCGGCGGACGGGCGGACTAATCCCGACCATAACAACCCGCTCTGTTTGATGGGCGTCCAGGCACCGCTTGTGCCGCATGTCACACTGCCGGTGATGTCCAAATGATCCCACCTACACTCGTCACGGGAAATCATTAGGAATAAACTGTAGAATAGCAAGGACTCACTCTGGTGTAGATACCATCATATACGGAAAATCTCACAGTAATACTTATAAATTTCCAATTATCTTAATTACGGTAACATTAAAGCAATTTAGTAAGTTACTGTACTTGTTTCCACTTTTTTTGAATTCGTCTTACATTTCTGAAGAAATTAAGACAATAAAAGAAAGAAAGTTTTTAACTCCCTTGCTGTATTGATGGATTTTCTAAATCTTAAAATTGACATTGATGACACCATTGACATTGTAAATATAAACCACTGAAACAAAGTCTACTCGAACCGGGACAGGGAGGCGGTACCGACTTCCGACGAACTTTGACCCAGTGCTGACGTCACACGTACACGTGCGGAAAACACGTGCCTACAGCACTGAGGTCAGATAGCTGATGAAGATGGAGGGAACGTCGGCCGAAATTACGGTGAGTCAAATTTTCTTGAGTTACAGAACAGGTTAATTCTCATTATGTACTCCAACCATTTATAGCTACTCATTCATCACAATGAAAACGTATAATCCTGATAATATAGCCATATAGGTAAGCTCTGCGCAATTAAAAAAGACTAAGACCTGGCGCAGAGTTTCGTATTTGTTTTTATGTATGAAAATGTGCTGACGCTCTATTTACATTTCAATCCACTTCGAATTCTTTCGACTGGGCCTCTTACGCAAAACTGACTACACGCATTGATTTATCACAGTGATAATGTTCAACTGTACGTGCGATGTAATCGTTCTGCAGATATATAAAGATGGTTCAAGTTGAGAAGTTGTTCTTTTTTTCGTGTTATAGAACAGATCATGCCCAGAAAAGAAAAAAATATAGTTTCATTTATAAACCACGTAAACTAATTAGTGTTAAAACCCCTTCACAGTCATTTACAGTTAATGTCATTAGATAGATTAATGAACAAGGGAAATAATAAAATACTTCATAGCCAACCTTGCTTTCTACTCTGCGATACAGGAAAAGACTTTGAGGCTGTTTTTTTAAATTCACATATATTTATTGAGTATTGTGCAAAAAGCAAAAGTTGCTTATAGAACACCTTCTACTCAAAGTACTTTGAGGCTGTTGATGTTTTCTTTTTGAAACCTAACCTGCCCTCTTCTTTAGTTTTGACTATAAAAAAATAAAATTGTTTTGATTTATCAAACGTTTATTATTTAAGAGTTAATGACCCACCCCGAGTTGTATATGGTGTGATAAAAGCCTTGTCAGTTGCTATAACCGCCGAATAAAATCCCCGAGTGAGCGTAGCCATTTCTTAGCACATTTTGTCATCATTTCATTCCTGAAGTGTTTGAAATAGCCACCAGTCCCCAGGAGTCCTTTTATTTTTGTCACCACCAATAAGTAACTAGAACCAGCCTAGGACATAAAAAAAACAACCGTTTTCCGTCAGCGACATCATATTTTTTTCCTTTACAGATATCAGTATACTACGAGATAGGGTTGATGTAACTTAGTACTACAGACGCCAAAAAGCAGTTACTGAAGCAACTGGATATAATTTTGGAAGTTATCATATGCAGTTGCTTGAGTAACTGCTTTTTGGCATATCATATTACCTGGATGTCTAACCTTCTTCGACGTTAGTACTACAGAGTTTTGTCACTCAGCGGTCGCTCAAAAGTCGCCGTCTAGTACGTGGAACGGGAACCTATGTGTCTTCATATCAGCATGAAGTTGCTTTGCCAATGGAGTTGTCAGATTGGCCAAGATGTAAAATCTGTTACTCTATTGTTAATCGAAGCCAATTTTATTTCTCGATACGGAAGGTAACTAAGTAGAATTGGGTGGCGGTCGTATCAAACACAACATTCAAGGCTTAAGGATAGATGTCGTAGCAGAATAGCCTCTACCAGGCACCGCGGATCGCTGGAAAAATAGTAGAAATTGGCCGAAATAAAGGGATACGTGGGTCGCAAATTGGAGCTTCTATGGCCCTGGATCTTCTCTGGTATACTATCCCTTTATTTCGGCCAATTTCTACTATTTTTCCAGCGATCCGCGGTGCCTGGTAGAGGCTAGTAGCAGAACTGTACTTCCTTAAAATCCTTACAATGCTGGGTTTTGTAAAAATGTGCTCCCCAAGCAGAAGTTTTTATGTATGCTTCGGCTTAGGTTTGACGTGTTTTTTTGGCGGGCTTTCTTCTTTTGTGTCAGCATCGTTTTATTTCTTCAGTCAAACAATGACGTATTGGATGCGGCTCTGCCAATTGCCAACTTGGAGAGTAGTAAGAATTGAGTTTTTGAAGCTTTGTGGGACCTAAACACTTGACAAAACCAGTAAGACACTACCTAAATTTCAACAATATTTTGTTGGATATAGTTTATCTGGTAGCCATGTCGCTAATTGTTTACCCAAATACCGACTGATTTACTTTTTTGTTCAGTTTTGGCTAATTTCTGTACCATATTTAAGCTCACACGTTAATAAAGATTCATTCATTTCTTCATTCATTCATTCATTCATTCATTCATTCATTCATTCATTCATTCATTCATTCATTCATTCATTCATTCATTCATTCATTCATTCATTCCTATTGGCACAATTAACCACCTCGAGACATTCTTATCAAACCGTAACTTATAGTTGTATTTTCTTACAACAAGAGTATGTACATGTGTACGTGACCTGGTAGAAAATACCGAGTCACTAACTCGGTCTTATACAACCCTCCTACTCTACCATACAAACAGCTAATTTCTATCTGTAGCCGAATAGATGCTTTTTCGAGGTAATCCAGTATTATACACATGTAGGTAATCTAGTATTATACACATGTAACGTACATAGATACATGCGTGACATTTAAATTGTACATTGAACTGTACTGTGAATGTTATATATACAGTGGTAACGTGAACGTGCTATAGCATTCTGATCTACATCTTATATGAGCTAGCATGCATTCTGCGCTCTCTATTGTATCTCTATTGTATATACAGAATCATATATCCAGTATCACGACCATATTGATCATGTTACAGATAGTTTTTATAGTTCTGATATCTTTAAAAATAGCGTGATGGATATATACATTGTGCAATATTGTCCCAACAAAAAAATCACGTCAACTCTGTACTGGGTAGATACTGGTCAACGCAACTACAAAAAACGTTGAATTTACCAGTGGTAGTAAATGCCAGTAAACACTGACAGTAGATAAAACTGTTGTTAAGTCCGAAATTACCTGACTTGACTTTTATTTACTACCATTTTCTAGCCCGGCTCTGTTTACGACTTTGCTGGATTTTACTACCGTTGATAAATCCAACTTTTCGTGCAGTGCACTAGTTGACTTGATGCATGAAAGACTTGGATTATTGCTTCAAAGTAAACATTCTCTTATGCTCATCGATGTGAACTATGGAAGGAGTAAGAGAATATTTTATATTCTTACAATGTACAAATATAGGGGAAGGACAGGATATATAGACATCTATTTCTGGTCAAAACATCGGTTAACACAATCGAACACACAGGAGAATTTTGCTGTGAACTGACCTTAGAAATAGCAGTACTGCCATCATAGTCTTGAACATGGTACCAGACCCCTAACTTAGCCTTAGTTTTTACATCAGTGATCATCCAAATCAATGCGCTAATGTGTCCCTATACCAGCCTCAAGCATCCACGAATGGTTTCTTTGTTTTTAGTATAACCCTACTGATCTTCTATGAAAAGTGTCACCCTTACCATACCAAACTGTGAAGAAAAATATTTGAGTAAAGTATCAAACAAGTATGAAATGCGTGTCCAGGTTTATGAGGAAGCTCGTACTGTTTGTAGTATACACTCTTTCCATCCGCAAACGTCGTCAAAAATCGCCGGTGTGGCCTGACCACTTTTCCTGTACACCTAACAGACCGCGTGTGTATCATAAACATCTCCTACTCTAGCGCTGCAAAATGGATTCAGTCACGACCTTCACCTCTGTGGAAGCGAAGTTTGCAACTTCAGGAGACAAAGTCAAGTCGCAAAAAATTACTGCCTTCTCAGGGTTTCTACACAAAGATTAAAACTCGTGTGTGTCATTTTTCCTGGTCACGACAAGTACTTGTTGTACATCCGGGCCCTGCAGCCATCCCTGAATAGAGACGGAGGACGCCACAGACTACCTGTCAGATTTGACCTACTGCACGCAGTCACGTGTCCCTAATCTGCATAAAATGACGTCATAGAAGCGGTGGACTGATCCATTCCTTGCCAAAGAAAGGTGCGATATTGGGGAAAATTTGGATACGTTCACCACCAGTCTTTATAACGACTTCTGCCAACCGAGATGAAGTTTGAAGCTAACTACTGCTTGTCGTCTCTGTTGTTTTGTCAGACTTGTGTCTCCTCCAGGGCGCTGTGCCTGATGCTTCCCGACTGTTCCTCCACCTGTTGAGACGCCGTGGGGGGAGGCTTCCTCTGGAAAGCGAACTTAACTCCCCTCTTCTTCTGGAAAGCAAGGAAAATGGTGACAGAGTTTACGACATCAGGTATGAGAAACTTAAAAATCTAAAGTGATCTCTCATCTGTACCAAGGTACAATATTAGCAAGCAATTCAATGCAATTCAAGTCAGCAAGGTGACCAATTATTTGAGACATACATCATCAAACACCGATCTTTTATTTATAGGAAGATCCTTCTCCAAAGTTTGTCTCTTTACCTGGCTGGAAAGTTTTCCAGGTAGAACACGTGCCCAGCACATAACTCAAGAAAGCCTTAGCTGTTTATATGGATTATTGGCGACAGCGTATTGCAAAGCCCAGAATAGGAGAGCCATTTGCCAGAGCTGCGTGAGATAGCTGCTTGCAAGAACGTCTATCTCTCGGTGAGTCATTATCACATTTGGGGTAACACCGTCGGCAAGTCCACCGCCAAACCCATCAAGAAAAGTTATGGCACCTTAGGTAC